TATAAAGGGACTAACTTGAGATTTCCGAACCAAAGTGGGGACAAAATTGGGTATTAAACCATTTTTTAAATAGGTTTTGAAAGAAACTAACCAAATTAATATTTTTTTCGTTTAATTTTTATTATAATCTTTCACAAACATTAATATACTTATGAAAAACGTAACATAAATTATTTTAATGTATAACTTTTCTAATTATATACATAAAAAATATTATCTCTGTCCATTATTCATATACTAGATGGAAAAAGGTTGGCAAGTAAAGAAAATTGAAAAGCGCCGCTTCATTTGGGTAGCCACCTCACAAGAACATAACTTTCCGTATCCGTACGGCGTTTGCGATCTTTCATGCTGCAAAACTTCTCGTGCTTCCACATTCCACGTGCCACTGCATGCCCAACCCCAAACACGACGTGGACAAATCTACCAAGTGAAAGTTTATTCTATTTCATAAATAAAATATCCATAAAGGAAGTTAACTACAAATAGAATAATAATAGTAGTTAATTTTATCACATGGAAGCAATTGTATCAGATAATTAATCACGAGCTTATTGGAAAAAGTCACTCGTGCCATTTTTCTTTTTCATTCAAGTATTTTCCACGTTATAAAACAATTTTTAAAACAATTTATTTTTTATATAACTTTTTTTCGTTAAAATAACTACTTACCAACTTATTTTTATTCTGAGTGATGATTAAAAATAATATTCTCTAAATCTAAAACAAATTACACTCTTCCGTAAAATTAAAACAAACAAAGCCCCTAAATACATTGTTACTCGACTTTTTAAGACTCAACGGTGTAAATATATAATGGAAACAATACCAAAAATGTATTCTCTATTACACTGGCATATTTTATCATCAATTGAAATTAGTGAGTTTATTAAAAATAATATATGTTATACTTTATTTAAAATATTTTAAAATAAAAATATGGAAACATATTAAATTTAAAGAATAAATTATTAAATGTGAAATAAAAATACGTCCGTGAACATCAACAATGTACCTAAAAATATAATTATCAACAGCAATCCACACATTAATTGAATTAAATAAAGCCTGTTAATTTATTTATTTTTCTCGAAAGTGAATGGTTCCATCACCAACAAAATCACCCAGGCTTTACGAAACCATAACTCACCGCTTCCCACCTTTCTTCATTGCCACATCCCTCTTCTCCTTACAATGTCCTCGTACGTTTCTGAACTTCAATTTCTTTTCACTATTCTTTTCTTTCCTTCTTTTGGCCCTTTACTTTGCTTGCAAGCCTATTATAATGTTCTCTTTCTTGTTTTTCGGAAAACTCTTACATATTAACTTCTATGCATTCAAATTTCTATTACTTTTTTTCCTTTTTGCATGTTTCAATCTGTCTGGTTTTGTTTTTCTACAGTGCTTTGTTAATGGTAATGTGTTATTGCTGTATTACGGGAAACTAGCTCCACATTGGGTGAAATGGTTGCACTATTTGCTCAGCGATATTGTAGCATTGCTGTTCACATATATCAGTAGGCAAAAAGATTTGAAAGACACTGATGGGTTCAAATTTAAGTACCTATACGATGTGTTATTGTTTCTATTGCGGTCACATAATCTTGGCCTAGTTATAGAAGTCAAATTTTGGACTATAGTTAGTTAATTGGGAATTTTCATTCTGACCTGCACTCTTATGACGATATTATCAACAAGTGATTTTTGATCAGGGGACTGGATTGTAATCGTTTTATAATATTCATTCACTGCAAGAGTAGAAGCATGATAATCCCTGTAATCTCTTGATGCAGTAGTATATGGGATCCATATAATAACAATTGTTTTATATGTGTAGTTAAGCTGATAAAAACATATTTGTAATTAAATTGAAATAATAGTGGTCGCATATAATCGTAACAATATATGATTGCATTTTGACCTCAAAAATCACAATATCTGTAGCACAGTTTTATATCCCTGCTAGTGTCAGCCGTACGTACTTGCTCAAACTTATTATGTTTTGGTTTACACTGCTACCGATTTATCAATAGATTGCACTTTATCTGTAAAAACACTTAATATTAAAGTGCAGCAAATAGAATATTTTGGAAACAAAAGTGTGTAACTTAATTATTAGCATCATTGTTTATCAGGATGCGGCAGCAGGATGCCACTGATACAACCACCCTCAGCTATTGGTTAAATTGGAGGTTCCTTTTGTGTGCATTTTCTGTGTTGCTGCCAACGATCCTTGCATTTCTTGTAATATGGAAGGATATACGTTCGAGGAAATTCAAATCTGGCGAAGGAGAACATCAGCGAGAGGGAGCTTTGTCTGGTGATGAAGCATGGAAACCATGCCTTAAAGAAATTCACCCTGTTTTTTTGCTAGTTTTCCGTATCATTGCATTCTCTTCTCTTTTGGCATCGCTAGTTGCCAAATTTTGTGTTAATGGTGGCTCCATATTTTTTTATTACACTCAGTAAGTATTCCCTTTCTATTGACGTAAGTCTTGTAGCACAAGTATAGTGACGCCTTAAAGCTATACTAGAAAGCAAATTCAGCATTAAGCTTTATAAACGAGTTTGAAGCCATTTATTGTTTTTAGCTGTCTCAGTTTTATCAGTTTCATTTCATTGTTTTCCATTTCCTTCCCATTAGCTCCAAACACATCTGATGGTGGTTATTTTGAATTTCTTGCAGGTGGACCTTCGCTTTGATTACAATTTATTTTGGGGTAAGGCTTGTAATTTTTCTTAGAGGCCTTCAATGAAATCATTCCTTTTCCATACGTATTAAGTCAGTTTACGATGCTTTATATTCTATAGATATAATACTTAGGCGGAAGCTTTGTCAGAAAGTGTTATCTATGAACTAAGTGTTATCTATGAAGTCTTGGCATATTTGTAACTCACAAGATGAAATTTCTTTTTGTAGTGTGCATCTATGCTATCAGTTTATGGGTGTTATCAGTACAACAGACCAAGGACCACCTTTAATGTAGATATTGCTGGACTAGATGCAGAACAAGGGCCATACATGCCTCTCTTGCACCAGGATACCACAAATCTGTCTAGAATCGATCACCTTGCTGATCCCCATGATGAAATACACAAGAATCAAATTACAACCATATGGAGTTATATTTTTCAAATTTTATTCCAGGTATGGAGAAGAAATCGACAGGTTTATAGAGAATTGGATAGGCATGTTAGTTGTATAATGAAAATCAAACTCAACCCTTACTTCTTTGCTTTCGTTATGTTTTTGTTTATGTTATTGTGTTTGTGTCTCTCTTTAACATTTTTATGTCTTTTCAGTCTTACATCTTCTCTTTTTTTCTTCACTTTAATTTTTATATTTTGTTCTTTCCTTCAAATACATGATTATACCATAGATTCTATAAAATTTGTTAGGTTGGCAAATGATGAAGTCCAGCCTATGTTTGGAAATCCGTTGGCAAGTATGTTGAGAGAAGGAATGCTTTATTACTTTCAAGTTACATATATATGGGCAGTCTTGGCAACATGTTTCCAAACTTGGTCTAAGTCTTGCAGCTTTGGACCTTATTGCATGAAATTCTGATAACTTTTGCATCACGTTGTTAATGATTTTCAGCTGGATATTATGGGTCTGTTTGGGAAATTTTTTGAACAATTACTTCCTAGAACTAAAATAAGAAGAAAAGATGAAATCATTTTACCCATAAACTGAAAATTTGATTTTGAAGAAAAAATTTAGCTTATGGAAAAAGTTGTCATTTTTTTGTTCGTATTTTCTTTCTCTATAAGTGCTTATGAAGAAGTTCATCTAAACAAACTCAATTTACTTGCACAATGTCAAGGATTTAACTTTATCCTGGTTGACTACGATGTTGCATTAGTATTCCCCTGATTTTATATGCCTTTTTAATACCTTTAAATAGATGAATGCAGGGGCGGTGATGCTTACAGATTGTGTTTATTGGATCATTATATTTCCATTCCTTACTCTGAAGGACTACGATTTTACCTTTGTGAGTAGAAAACTTCTGGATATTCCTAGTTCTTTCTGCTTTCTTGTTCGTGTTAAAATTGACTGCTTAACTTTCTTTACCTTTAGCTAACCTAATAGGTTGATGTGACATCCACCTATCATAAAGGTTTGAGTTTGTGGCACATTCGTTCTCTGATTTTTCTATCCTTTTTTTAATTTATATGCTTTTTCCGTACGTCAAGAAATTACTGCATCAATTTATGTCACTTATTCGTATCCTATACTTTTGCATACTTTACATATACTTACATAAAGTATCTGTTAGAAAAATTGTTTCTAATATTATTCACAAACCAGCAATTGCTCTTATATAGACATGACATAATAATTGGAAATCCTAATTTATGATAGATATATCAATCTGATAGAGCATTAAAGGTATATGAGAGGAAGAAAAAGAGACGAGGGCAGAGTAAGGAGAACTAAGAGCGGGAAAAGGGTAGTGTCAGTTAGTAGTTAGTTTGAAGGGAGGGGAATACTATATATAGGAGGTAGTTGGTAAGGGGGAAGGTTAGCCTTTTTGTACATTTGAGTTAGACTGGAGACTTGTTGGAGTGGGAGGGAGATAGGCTTCCTTGAGGGTGATTCTTGTATACTGAATTCTTTCATTCATCTAATAAACTACATACTATTCAGACTGTTTGTGCATGTTCTTGAGAGAAGGAGAGGGTTGATCGACTTCTTGACTAAAGAAGTCTATCACAATCCCTAAAATTCGGTGATCTTGTACAATAAATATAAAATATACTGACATCCTATTAATCCTCATAATTATCATTATAAGGAAATATTAGCTGCAGCATAGATCAAGGGATTTTGACATTCCTCCTCAAGTTGGTGAGTGGAGTAATCTATTCCCAACTTGCCAATAATGGATTGATATGTAGCACCAGTGAGCCGTTTTGTTAACGTGTCTAACCTAAATTTTAGAATCTCCTTTGAACTGAACTCTGTGGTGGGTGAATTTTCTAAGTAGGCTTTTTTGTGGTTTGAACAATGGCAATGTAGGCCTAGAAGAAATATATTGGAATAAGAAAGGGTTGTGGTGTTCCAGTAGTGCAGGTTTCACAGGTGAATACGACGGAAGAAAGAAAGGGGTGTAGTTTTGCATCAATGAGGGCCGCCCAAGAGATTACAAAACTCCTAAGAATTTTAGAGCTCTTATACCATGTTAGAAAAACTGTTTACGATTTTATTCATAAAGGAGCGATTGCTCTTAAATAGAATACGTGCACATATAATAACTGACAATCCTAATTTATGATATATATAATCTATCCCTGCAATTTATAATCAATCATCTTCTACAATAAATATACAGTATATGGTCAGCCTATCAATTCTCCTAATTATGAAATGTAATTAAATCTCTTATAACTCTAACATAATTCAAGGGATTTTGAGAATATCAAATCTATGAAACACTAGTACTTTTATGATGAAAATAACTTTTATTTTGAGAATATCTAAGAAATGTGATTTTAATTTTGATTCATACAATTGCAATTATATATTTATTATGTCCTAATAATGTTTGTGTATTTTTACTCTTGTTTTTAAAATAAACATATTGTCTTATCAGATACACATCGTATCCAATACATGTGCATCATAGTTACCAAATCTTGAAGGAGTTTCTCATAATTCGATTTTTATGTTGGATTATGGGAATGTAATAAGATTTTGGTATCATATGGTTGCTAATCCAAGAGCTCACCTTCAACTTGCTCAAATTTCTCCTAATTTAGTTTTTAGGTTGGGTAATGGGAATGTAACAAGATTTTGTTTCATATGGTTGCTAATCCAAGAGTTCACCTTTAATTGGCTTGTTGATAAAATTAAAAGGGGTGACGGGATAGGTTGTTGGTTTGAGTCCTCCCTACGCAACGAAAAAAATACTAACATACTAACCATTGACATTTGCCATAAAAAACTAAATACATTGAGAATGTAAATAATTTGAAACAATTGAAGGTCTTAACTCTTAATTACACAAGTAAATAATTGTTTGAACAAAACTCAAGAACATGTGATTTTGATTGAGTGAATACAAGAAAGTATAGAACATGAAGAAGAAGCATCTGATACTGATAGGGTCTGGAAGGTTTATGAGAGGAGAAAGAAGAGTTTAGAAGCTTAACTGTACTTGAGATCTAAAACAGAGAAAAATAGTTCTAAAGGGCTTGAAAGACCCTTCTCAGTTCTAT